CCAGGCCCAAACAAAGTGTCGTTTGGGCCTACCCGCTGGGCTGAGTGCAAAATCAGGCCTTTAGGGCCTGTGACCCTCAAAGGTCGGGCCTTTAGGCCCTGGTGTGTCCCTCCGGCCCTAAGTCGGGTCCGGTAGGACCCGTGTGACTCGAAGATGTAACAGTGTGTGTGTGTGTGTGTGTGTTTGTGCGTGTGTGTGTGTGTGTGTGTCTGTGTGTGTGTGACACAAGCACACACACACAGACACACACGCACATTCGAATTGTTTTTTCTCCATTTGTTCTTTCATTGTTCCCCGTGCTCTCTTCACTGCCCAATTAGAGCACCTGTAAGATGTGCCAAAGAGTCAGCGGGCGTTTGTCAGAAGCGACTAGAACACCACTACAGTGGCTGGTGTCTCTATGTTTCCTGGTGTGATAGACATTCTCCTTGTGCCTGCCTGGCTCTTGATGGTGGTGTAAACCTACAGTCAGAAGGGTTTTTCCATGTGATGTGAGTGGGTGATAGTCTGCTCTGATCCTCTCCGCATGTGTGGGTTGCTGTGTTGACGATGTCTTTCTGCTTGCCTTGTTGTGTTGCTCTATTCCTGCCCGCCCGCTCCTCAAGCGGCATGGCTAATTCTGTTGCTATATCCTGCCTTAGGCTAATGTAACTTGTCCTATCTACTTACTGTGTTCCCGCTTTTTCGCCCTCCTCACCTGCTTAACCACTTTGAATTCTTCGCCATCTGCAGCTTATTGCACACCATCTGCCTTGCTGTGTTGATGTCCCCAAAGCCCCATGCGCGCTTGCCTCTCTACAAGTTTTCTTGTCCATGCCCCGCTGCATGTGTTCGCCAACTTGTACACAGTTTGAAGGACGTTATGACTCAAACCACTGTGAAGGCATACTCCAAACTATAGAGGGTTAATCCTGCTGACGATTCTGAGGGAGTCAGACGACAAAGTCTGTCACTACCCGCATATTCTGTGGATTGCATCTTTATGTGTTGTCTGCTGCCATTGGTTGTTTATATGTGGGTATGAATCTTCGGCCATAGCGCTGTCAACCTACATCAATATATATAAATTAAAAAAAAGCCTACATCAATATCCAGTAGCAAGTTTCGCCTGCAAAGTCAATTGGATAGAAAGCAAATTATAGTGCTTAATTACTTACACCCAGAACTTGTGTGCCAAAAACTTTGTGAAGCAGCTTAGCATGATCTGCTCTGGCATTTTGAGAGAGAGAGAGAGAGAGAGAGAGAGAGAGAGAGAGAGAGAGAGAGAGAGAGAGAGAGAGAGAGAGAGAGAGAGAGATCTTGTCACCTATTTTTTACTATATGCAGGGGACCTAAATGCTTCTTAGAAAGTTTGGAAATGACAGGAAGTATATTCCACTTACAGCAATATGATTGACCTGCTCCCTTTTCTCCTCGGGCGAGAGCCTCCTAAAAGTGCTACCTTCCACAACTTTCCATGCACCACCTTCGTTGTATATTCCGCATTCCGTTGCTATTGCCTTTGCTGTGATTGCGTTGTCTCCAGTTACCATCCGAACCTGCGAAGAAGGAAATACAGAAAACAGAAACAGCAAGAAACGAAATTAGATGAGGCGCCGAAGTAGAAGCATGAAAAAGTGAAAGACAACAACAATAGACTCTTACTAGTCTCTTAGTGGAGAAAATAAGTATGTGGGGTAAACAAAGGAGAAGAAGAAGAAGGATGTGGAGTAGAAGGCGTAGATGCAGTCTGACTTTACTGGAGCAGCAACGAAATAGGACCAGAATCCCTTGTTAACGGATGAAGGGAGAATGTACGTAGCCTGCAGCCCTTTTCCCATGCTGTTGAGCTTCTAGCTTGGTAGCTGCTGCTGCTGCTGCTGCTGCGGCTGCGGCTGCGGCTGCTCTAATCTTCATTCTGATCACAAGTGGCTATAATGACCCTGGAAAAACCCTGAAAATTTAGGGCTCTGTTAACCTGCGTAGCACGCCGTTTGTGTTCGCCGGCGAACGCAAACACGATTTGGTTTTACTAACAATCCGATCTGAGAACCCGTTGTTTGCGCGAATACCCTCACAAGGGTATCCGCCCTGGTTTTTGCAAATGACAAAGAATAAGTTTGGTTTAACGTTTGAGTATACCGCGCGAGTCGCGGCTGTGTCTGTTGTTTACGCTGACTGGATGGCTGACTAAGAGTAAAGAGTGTGTGGGCGCGCAGATTTAAGGCGCGTGTGATCCTTTTCTTATTGATGATTGCAGGGCCGGCGCGGTGGCTGGTCAAATTTTTAGTTTGGATTAAGCTAAGATTAAGAGGTTGTTTGATGATTGGAACGATTGATCGTGACTTGTGCGTACGTGCAGAGGGCGACATCAACAACAATGTCTTCTTCTCCTTCTTCTCTTCTTCTTCTTCACGTATCCCACATACATCCCCCATATCCAACTTTTTTTTTTTTTT